TTCTTTGCTTTTCTTTCCCTTGTGTACATCTGAATTCCATCTATTATCATTTTTTTTTAATTCTTGAAGAAGTTCCTCTAACATTTCTTATATTGTAGGTCTATTGGTGAAAGATTCTCTCAGCTGAAGGTGTTTTTATTTCACATCTTTGTTTGAAGGATATTTTTTCTGGATTTGGAATTCTAGGCTGAGAAATTATTATTTTTTGTTTAAAAATGTCTTCTAGCTTAAGTTGTTTCTGATGGAAAGTTAAGAGATCATTCTGATTGTTACTCTTCTGTACATAATACATCTTTTCTGGATGCTTTTAAATATTTCTTGGATTACTAGTTTTTAGCAATTTCATTATTTGTGTTTATCCTGTTTGAGATTCATTGAGCTTCTTGGATTGTGAGTGTACATTTTTCATCAAATGTGGAAATTTTTCAGTCAATGTTTTTTCAAGTATTTTTCTTTCTTAATCTTTCTTTTCTCTTCTATTGAGACTTTTCATTACATAGATGTTAGGTAATTGATCGTGTTTACAGATCAACAGAAGCTCTGTTCATGTTTTCAGCCTTGTTTTCACTCTGTGCTTCAGTTTGGATAGATTCTGTTGCCACCTCTTCAAGTTCACTGATCTTCTCTTCTGCAGTGTCTAATCTGCTTAATTAGAAAAATCCCTCAAGTACACTTTTTACTTCAGTTATCATATTTTTCATCTAAGTTTCATTGGGTTCCTTTCATAATTTTTATTTTTCTTTTCATTATTTTTCATCTTCCCTTTCATTTCTGTATGTTTCTGTTAACTGGTTTTTCTCTTGATTATTGGTCACATTTTCCTGTGTTGCCTGGAAAATAATTGTTTCTTCCATGCTGCACCTTGGGAATGCTGTGTTGTTGACTTGATTTTGTCTTCCTTTGAAAAGAGTTTTGTTCTGGCAGGTAGTTAATTACTTACAGAGCAACTCAATACTTCAAAAGCTGGTTTTTAAGCTGTGTTAAGGCAGGTTTAGAGGAGTTCTTATTCTGGGATTAGAGCAGCTCTTCTAAGGCATGACCTTTCTGGGTCTTAGCTGAATGCCTGAAAGTATTGAGCAAGGTCTCTCCTCTCTGGCAGGGGGGAACTCCAAATATCTCCTACTCTTGTGTGACTTTTGAATCTTCACTCACTTCACAGCCCTACAGCCCCCACGCCCCGTTAGCTATTTTTTGCTAGGCTTTCCAGGGACTCGCTCTGCATAAATATAGTTTGGTATTCAGCCAGATTTCAAGGGGGCCCATCTACACATTTCTGGAGTTCTCTTTTGTTGCACAATTCGTTCTTCTTTGTGATTTTGCCCTGCAAATTCTCGCCACCTCAAAAGCCCTGAACTCAGATCACCGTCTCCTTCGTTCACTGAGATGTTTGGGCTCCACCTATCTCAGCCCTGTTCCGGAGGGGCTCCCCAGGCAGACAGCTAGTGTGACCAGGGGGCTCACATCATGTCTTCTCTCCTGAATCACTTCTCTTAAATCCCTCTGCCCTCATGTCCAGCTTTGTCCAGCTTTCTAGTTGAATATGCCAGAAGGCCGGTCTTACACCACGTACTCCATCATGGCCAGAAATGTGAGTTCTCCAATTCTCCTTCTAAGATGAAGATCCACAAGGAGAGGTTCCCAGCCTGACTCCTCTTGCATCCATCTCTCATTCATCCTCACCTCCAGCCTTTGAGCACATGATTCTGTTTGCCGCCAGTGCAAAGTTTCAGGAAAACCCCGTCTCTCCACTTCCTTGGTTGTGTGATGACTTTTCTTGAATCCTTGCATTCTCTACATTTTTTTCCTCCAGTTAAATTTTCAGCTTTCCAGAAAGGAGACTACAGTGCTCTGTTGTTTTTTAGATATATCTTGTGTGTAGATATCACATGTGTGTCTGAGACTCTTTCATTCTTTCGCAGGAGGAGCTCAGGTAGGAATTCCAGCATGACATTGTTCCCTGTAAGGTCAACAGAGGGAGCACACAGTTGAGTAGAATGAGTCAGGAGCCTGGGACGTCGATCCCTGCCCAGCCCAACCCACTCTGTGACCCAGAAGTGATAACCATACCTCTCTGAGCCTTAGTAGCCCCATCTGTCTTACACCCTTGGGACCACTGGGAGGGTAACATGTCAGATAGTTTCATGGCATTGTTACGTGCCGTCATTGGGATCCCATCTTCAATATGCTCTTCTTCAGCAGTTCTGACTGTAACTTTTCTGGCCACTCATGCATTGATACACGGATTCCATAGTGTCTCTTGAGCACTGCGTTTCAGGGAATGCACCAGACACTCTGCATGGTGGGCTAGGCTGGCAGAGTTCCTGCCATCTGTGAGTATACGTGCTCATGGGGAGAGAGCCATTAATCAAAGGTCATACCGTGTGTCATTACTGATGGTGATCAGTCCTTGGAAGGGAAGACGAGAGGGGAATGACAGATAAATGGTCCCAGGTAGGGGGGTTTGTGGGAGGTGGACTCCCTAAGGAAGAGATCTTTTAAGTATAGTATGTAGGACCCAGTCAAAAGTTTGAGGGCAGAGGGAATGGCATGTACAAAGTCCCTGAGCTTGAAAGAGAAAGGCTATTGTAGGATATGAGAAGGCGAGGAGCTCAGAGGCCTGTGAGGAAGCTGGAGAGGGGAGTGGTCCCAGGCAGGGTGATCGGAGCACATAGGTGATACCCTCAGGCCTATTATACCATGTGCTTTATGCACGTTCCTGAGCTCCCTACCCCAGGGAAAGGGGGGGATCTCTCCCTCAGAATGCCAGGATCTTTACAGCATGAATTGTAGACTCTGTAGAGGGCTGATCCAGAGGATCTCCTCGCATCATTCTGCAGGGATGGAGCGTGAGGCCTCAGAGGGAAAGCAGCTTGATCAGGCTGTTGCAGAGAAACTCTGTTCCTGTGTGGGTCACTGCCGTGGAGGGCAGAGGAGCACACAGCTTTTGCCAAAGGCATCCTTGCACAGCCGGCAGACTTGAGCCCCCTCTCATCTCAGCACTAACTTTGTGTGTGGCCATGAACAAACTTATTATGTCTGTGCCCAAAATAAGCCTTTGGGCCTTGAGATGTTTTTATCTCTGAAAAATACCCGTAATAGCTGCTTACATTTGAAGAGCAGTTTATCATTCAGGATGCTTCTGAGACTTTCTTGGATTCCCACAAAGTCCTTGTGAGGCTGGACATGCGGAGAGGATCATCCCAGTGCTGGTGGAGGCGAGGTGGGGAAAAAAGGCTGAGAGAGAGGAAGTACAGCCCCCAAGATTGCTGAGGCCGGGGGTTACAGAACCGGGCTTCAGAGGTGGATTTGCCTTGCTCCAGACTCAGGCTGGCTCCATTACAGTGAATCACCAGCTTTGGTCCCCAAACTACACCTCACACAAGAAGCCAGCAGAAATATTAGAAATGGACTCCAGGTGCCTGTTGGAACATTGAACGTGTATGTTCATTCTGTGGCTTAAAAAAAAAAAAAATTGGAAACTATGAGACAAGCAATCCTGTGGTGGGACTCAGGGGCCTCTGAGGCCCTTGGCTCAGAAAGAGGGACAGAGAGTGAGAGAGAAGGCATACCAATGTCCTTCGCCACCCAGACCTCTGAGTTCCTGATTCAGAAAGGGAGAGTCTGACAGTGGCAGCTCTCAGGTACGAGGGACACTAGTGTTCTCCGCAGACTGAGGCCTTGAGATTTCTTTCTGGGGCTGGGGTGGGCAGCTTGTTTAAGTGGGACATGACTAAAGAACTCCTCCGTGCTCGGCATCTGGCCACCACTGTGGGCAAGGAGTGGGTGACCCTCCACAGGGGAGAACGGGCAACCCGGGTCCCCAGAGCTCACCGCATGCACCAGCATGGTAAATGAAGGACCACAGAGCGGCCCCTCCTTTCTGCCACTCAGTTCCTCTGTGACCTTGGACGAGGCCCTGCATCCTGCTTCTTTGGGCCCGAGCTTCGCCATCTGTGCCAGGAATGAGCAGAGGTAGCGGGCCAGAGGGCCCTTTCATTTGGGCTCTGCAAATAGTGCCCAGGAGCAGGGAGGTGATGGGGCCCATCTCCACCTGCAGGGGCCTGGGGAGCAGCAGCTGGGTCCTCTTGTAACTACCCTCTGGTGTTACTCATTCTTGTGGGTTCGATGAGCCTCTGGTCAATACCGAAGGACCCCCTTCCTCTTGCTGCCTAGCCTGCTTCCTGCCCTCAGGGAGAGTTGTGGATATTGCATGATCTCTGAATGAGAAGACCACTACCTCCTCCTCTTTGGTTTTTATGGTTGGAGTGTGGCCAGGGTCAGGGGTGGGCCACCACTGGTAAGGGTTCAGGGCAGGGTGAAGGAGGCCAACTCATGCTCTCCCAAGACCATCAGAGGTGGAAACCGCTTGAGAGTCAGCCCCTGGTTCTCAGTGACTCCGGCTTCTACGGAATTTGCAGGTGAGGGAGACAGGGGGCCTGGGTAATGGTGATGTAGGGTTCCCCAGACAGCCTCCAGGAACTGCTACACTTATTTCAATGAAAGCATCAGGCATTGGGTCAAACGGTGTCCCCTGAGAGCCACAGTTCCCAGTCAGTGCCACCACGAGGCCCCTCTGCCTCCTCCCAGCCCCCATCAGCCCCGGCACATCCCTGCCTGTCTGCTTCCTGTTGTAACTAACAAGCCAGCCTTCCTTTAGGAAAAGGAGCTTAGAAACCAACGTTCTGGAAGATGCACTTGGGCCTGGGTTAACTAATTCAGGTGCCCCAAGAGTCCGGAGACCGGGCCGGTCAAGGGTTATGGGTGACCTACACAGTGGGCTGCTTGGTGGCCTCCAGATGACAAAGCATGAGCTGACAGAAGGTTCCAGACTGCTGGACTTTCTCTGGCTCTGAGTTAAGTGAGAATCCTTGTTCTCTGTGGCACAAGAAGAGGTTGGGCAGAGACAGTCCCAACTCTGGAATGTGGGGCCAGTGGCCCAAGAGGCCACTCACTCCGCCGGCTGGGAGTCCCCTCGGGGACTGAGAGCGTGACCCTCTCAGGTACTGCCCCCGGGTGGGAGCCGCCGGACGATCCAGACACGGGCTCTGAGTGTTCACATCCAGAGGTCTCCGCGTCTCCACGCTTCGTGGCAGCGAAGACCCAGACGAACCAGTCGGGGAAAAAAGCGCCGGCCTCCGTGGTCCGATGTGCGACCCTCTTACATCGCACCCCTCCAGCCACCCAAACCCAGACGTTCCGCACTCCAAATTCGGGATCTCCAGCGAGCAAGGCGACCGCAGGTACCAACGGCCTCTGTGACCCCCACACTTTCTCCACCCCCACCCTTCTCACCACCTGCCACAGCTGTGCCTGGGGTGATTGTTCCCTTGCAAGAGCAAGAGTGGCAGTCTCGTAGTGATCTGGGACAAATCTGGGTCCCAGTTCTGCCTCTGGATGGCTCTGTGACCGTGGCAAGCCACCTAACCTTTCTGAGCCAGATCTTCTCAACCTGAATCAGAGGGTTGTGCAAGGGGTTTGCAAACTTTTTTTTTAGTAGAATATTTTTTTCCAAATCATGGCCTAAAAGGCCTGTTTTATTTGACATTCACAGGGTTTAAAAATTTTTTTAGTTGGCCAGGTGCTGTGGCTCACGCCTGTAATCCCAGTACTTGGGGAGGCTGAGGTGGGCAGCTCACCTGAGATCAGGAGTTCGAGACCACCCTGGGTAACATGGTGAAACCCTGTCTCTACTAAAATACAAAAAATTAGCCAGGTGTGGTGGCATGAACCTGTAGTCCCAGCTACTTGGGAGGCTGAGACACAAGAACCACTTGAGCCCTGGAGGCAGAGGCTGCAGAGAGCCAAGATCGTGCCACTGCATTCCAGCTTGGGCTACAGAGTGAGATCCCATCTCAAAAAAAAGAAAAAAAGAAAAAAAATTAGTTAATTGCCATCATTTGTATTTCAGATTTTATGTAAAACTTTTATTTCTACCTGACATTGAAAAGTCAGCTCTGGCAGTCCTGGACCCCCTTCCCTACAGGGCAACAATTGCCTGCCTCCTTGAGTAGAGCCACTTTTCCACAATCCCCACCATTCCCTATTGCCTCCCCAACACAACGGCCATGTGGCAGGTGTCATTTCTCATTGTGATCGCACTGTTGTTTGTCTTACATTCAACCCAGTTCATCTGTTTATACTGTCTGCCTGGACCCTGTCAGCATGAGTTTGCATCTCCCACCTTTCAGAAAACGTAATTAAAAAAATAAAAATTAAAAACTCATTTCAACAAGGATCTGCTCTCAACACAGCAGGATAAGCCAGATGGTTGACCGAGATCTCTGGTCTCTCACCCTCCCCCTTTGTACCACAACCCGTGAAACTCTTCCATGAGATACAGGCCCAGCAGGAAACCAGTGGATGCCACCATGTCCTATGTTCACGCTGCAAAGGACTCTGGCTCCAGAGGGGTAAACAGACAGTAAAAGGTGCCCAGCAGTTATTTCCTCCAGGATAACTGGCCAGACCCACTGTGTGCTGATCAGGAATTCTTAGATTCACACTGGGGTGGAGCCAGCGCTGGGTCACCTGCCTGGACTTGTGACTTGTAGAGCAGAGTGAGGATATGGTGCTTCGGGACCGTGGGCTCTTCAGTTGTCCTCAGGAGACCAAAGCCATTTCTTAAATAAATAGATGATTAAGGTGAGAACTCTGGTAAAAGGAACCACTTGGTTCTTTCCGCGACTGACGGCCCAGCCGAGGGATTAAGCCATGCTTACCTTTACTCCTTCGTTCAGGAGACTAATTTTGGGCGAGGGTCTGGGTCTTTGAAGATATGTTTGTTGTGCTTAGATCTCCCAAAAGGAGAGTAGTTAATCAACCTTGAAGGTAACAGTTTTTCAGGTACCATGTTGAGAAAAGCCAATAACCGTTGTGTTTTCAACAGTAGCATAAATTAGTTAGAAGCAGATTGGTCATCACGGCCTCACTGGTGATAGGTGTCGGCTCCACTAAATCATGGAATCATGCCTTTCAAATCTTGCTTTCACTCTTGCACTTCGTGGCTGGGAGTTTTTATGCCTGCAGTATCTGCCGACGGCAGCCCACAGGGTGTGGCACGTGGCCGGTCTCCAACCTCAGTGTGTCTAAGTAGGCATTCAGCCAGCTATGGGACAGGCCTCGGGCTGCCTTCATGGGCCTTAGAAGACTTGTGGGTGGCAGGGGGTCACCTCTGGATTCACCAGCTGGGTGGGCCAGAGGGCATCCAGTTGGGGGCAGGAGCCTGCATGGGATTTAAGGTAGTGTGTGTTTGAGGAAGACCCTGTCAGTCACTTCCTCGTTCTGGAATAAGTGACCCTTCGTGTGTGGATGGGCGTGTCCCTGTATGGGATTTCAGCTCTGGTGGTGCACATTTCAGCCAGAGCTACCTGTAGCAAGGAAAGCTGCTCCAGATGTGCGCTGTCAGCCGAGCAGTGTAAGAGTTTGCAACCTCACCTGTGCTAAGTTCTCCCAGCATGCCGGTCAGAAGTCCTCTGAAGTACCGGTCACCCGACGTACACAAGGATGAAGATGGAGAAGGCAGTCACTTCTCTACCTCAGACCTTTCTAAAAAGGAAGCATCTGCCCCCGCAGGGAAGTCTTATTCTGCCATCTTAGAGGGTTAGGAGCACATCCAGCCCCAGAACGTGACAATCCCTCTCTTTCCTCTGTGTTTTCACCTGTGAAATGGGAATGACAGTGCAGCCCTCTCAGAGCTGTTGGGAGAATTAGCGGGAGCATGGGTGTAAAGCGTCCGGACCAGTGCCTGCTACATAGGAGGTGCTCAGCGAATGAGAGTCCCTTCCCTTCTAGACAGAGAACAGAGAGGCCTTCTATGCGTTTGCAGATGCTTGCCGAGGCTCTCAGCCCAGGCATTTCACAGACATCTTTTGAAGGGAGGGTGGTCTTTGTAACGTTAGCAGCCTCTGCAGGAAGGATCCTGTCACAAGGCGTTGTTACGGCGGGATGACGGGGGTCCGTCGGGGGAGGTAGGGATTGGGCAGGGCCTGCAGGTGCTGGCTCTGGCCTCCTTTCCCATCTTCCCCATGGACATCCACACCCTTGGCGCCCACAAACTAAGCACCTGCTCTCCGGAGCAGGGTGGACCAGATGAGAGTAGCATTTCCCGAAGTGCGTCCTCAAGATCACCAATTTTGTGAGAGATTTCAGAAGCTGATGTTTTTAAAATGGGGTTCTGTGGGATCCCCTCTTATGTTTGGAGAAGGCAAGGTTAAGTCAAGCTAAATGGGTCCCTTTCCGGTCAGACTTCTCAGAGCCTTTGATCTCTTTAGGCAAGTTGTTTCTCCTTAAGAAATGGACGGGGTCAGCTGCACATCCCAAATTGACTTGCTCCCTGAGCTCTTGATCTCCTGGATCATCTGGTATCGCCCTCATGCCCAGAGCACCTGGGAAAAGCTGGGCTGTCTTCCAGCTCGGATCATCTGTTTCAGTACCTTCTGCAGGTGGGGGTGGGGACTACATTCACGGTTTTCTACCTGGTTGGACCCTATGTCTGCATTTCGGGGTTTCCAGGGATCACCTGGGAGAGCGCGGGCCACTCAGGAAGATGGCAGCCTGTAAACAGAGACACCCCAGGTGTCACTCAGGAGGAACCCATCCCTTCCACTGGGTGAACACTGAGCAGACCTTGCCTGGTGTTGGCCTCCGGGGGTTAGGGTTGCCCCAGCTCCCTGTTGTGCCTGCTATTCCAGGATGTGCTCCCTGTCACCAGGGACTATCCAGCGGATGGAAGTGGAATCGGGAAAACAGGCTGTCGTGATCCCTGTGCTTTGGTGGGGCCTGTGGCAGCAGAATCTGACAGAGGAAGTGGTGGGCGGTAGATCCAGTGACGGAGTCACAGGTGTGGCTCTCCAGGAGCCAAAGATGGAGACTCAGGCCCATTTGCCATCTGCTCTCTGGCTGGATTTCATCTGTGTGTTTTTAGGCATGTCACCCCCTCCCCCAACCCTGTGCCTGGGCTTCCTGGGCACTGCCAGGCGGGTCTCTTGGGGCCCTGGCAAGGTGTTAGGCTACTCAGAGGGGCCCGGAGTGTCTGGCTTGGGGTCTCGGAGCCCTCACTAGAGCTGGTTGCCCCAGCAGAGTCCTTGGCCTTCACCCAGCCTGCCCCTGCATTGAGACCTAGTGCTGACCAATCACCATTGTTCCCTTTTCTCTTCCCTGTCCCCCACCCAGCAGAAAGCGCTTTCAGTCGGAGAGTAGAAGGCAAAGCACAAAACCACTTTGAAGAGACGAACAGCAGTTCGCAGAACTCCAGCGGTGAGTGTGCCCCTTGACAGCCATCCTGTGTGGCAGCTGCCAGCTTCACCCGCTCCCCCCTGGCAGCTGCAGCGGCACCCTGTGGACTGGGGTCTTTGTGGCGCATGATGGATCTTGTTGGGAGGAAGCTGGAAGCAGGGAATCAGAGGGGGACCGCAGAGACAGGAGGGGCCTTTTCTTCCAGGGACATTCCTCTGAGCCTTGGGCATCAATGGGCAGTGCCTCCTCTCTGTCTCCCCCATGGAGAGGGCAATACCCCTCTCCATGGCCTTGGGCATTAACTCAGCCGACCCCAGATGGTTGGGCCTGAGAGAGCCACTGCTATGTTTTTAGGGTAGACATCTCAGCCAGTTTCAGCACAGTAGGAAGAGCTCTAAAAGGCTGGGCGCCACGTCTCACGCCTGTAATCTCAGCACTTTGTGGGGGCCGGGGTGGGTGGATCACTTGAGGTCAGGAGTTTGAGATCAGCCTGGCCAACATGATGAAACCCTGTCTCTACTAAAAATACGGTAGCTATAATCCCATCCACTCAAGAGGCTGAGGCAGGAGAATCGCTTGAACCCAGGACCAGGAGGTTGGAGTGAGCCAAGATCGCACCACTGCACTCCAGCTTGGGTGACAGAGCGAGACTGTCTAAAAGAAGAAAAAAATAGAGCTCTGAGAGCCAGAGGCCCCAAGTTCTGGCCTCATTTTGGCCCTGGAGCCATTGAAACTGAGATTCCCTTCCAGCCCCTACCTGCTCAAGTGGGTTTAAGGTGAGGTTCCCAGTGGTATCTGGCGCCCCCTGATGGCTGCCTCGTGCAGGACCGTGGCAGAGACCCAGAGCGTCCAGAGCAGCAGCCAAGGGGCCTCTCCGACCAGACCCAGGGTCAGCCTGGTGTGGCCATGGCTGGTCACCAGCAGCCTCTGTCCAAACAGGACACAGCAAGCTGATCTGTACCTGGAGAGCTGGGGCAGGAGGGGAGAGAAATTCTCACATTGTGGTGACATTAGGGGAAGACACCCACTCACTTTCTTGCATGGTTAAAGTTTAATTCACCACATATGAGGTGTCGGCCTGTGCCAGGCACTAGGCCAGGCACTGCCCTGGTGTGGACAGGTGACGAACACAACACAACCATAGGGACCCTGTGAGACAGCCAGGAAGCCAGACTGGAGTGTGGAGGCATCTGCCTCGTCATGGGAGCCCCACTTCAGGCTCATACTCAGTGTGAACCCTAGCTCCACCAGTTGCTAGCTGGTGACTTCGGCTGGTCTCTGAATCCCTCCTCTGCTGTAAAGTGGTTGACGAACACGCGTAGCCCCGTGGCGGTTGTGAACACTCAGTGAGTGCCTGGCACAGATTACGTACTCAGCTGTCAGGGTTATTCGGTGGTGAGAGTTGGTTATTTTTATTTTTTAAGTAAACCAAGTGATGTGATGGCTGTTCTGCGTAAGCGAATGAGGTTTTGAACGGTGTCATCCACACAACCTCTCCAAGAGGTAGACCCGAAAGAGAGGGAGGGAGTGACTTGCCCAAGGCCACACAGGAATGAGTAGCAGCGCCAGGCTGGAACCAAAGTCTCCGGGTGTGCCCTGTGCTCCCAGCCAAGCCATGCTGCACCCCCTGTGCGTCCCCTGCCCCCAGAGCTAACCAGTCAGGAACAATAGTGCGAGACCTGCTGCTGCTGCTGCTGTGGGCAGCCGCCGTTAATTGAGCGCTTACTGTGTGCCTGGCATGTGTTTGGAGCTTTATATGTCTTATCTGTCTTCCTCCTTACCACAGCCCATGGGGGTCAATGTTATTGTTATCCCCACTTTTTGAAGTGGGAAACTGAGGCTCAGGAGAGGTGGATTGCTGCTCCGGGTTCCCCAGATTATAAGTGGTGGAGTCAGGATTCCCCATCTAGTCCATCTGGCCCCACTGTGGTGCCTACTGCGTTTGAGGCTTGCCAACTGTGGGCAGTGCCAGGAAGTGGAGGAGAGATGCCAGCCGGCAGGAGCCCTCCACAGCACAGCCGCTCGCGGTGGCTGCTCTCGTGTTTGGTACCAAACATCCCCACTCTGGTGCCAGAACCTAGAAGTAGCTTCCAGCTCCCTGTCCCAAAGTGAGCTGCCATGTGAGGATGTCTTCTCACCAGTACTCATGTGGCCTTGCTCTTTCAGAGTGAAGGGTGTCCCGGAGGGATGGCAGTGACTTGTCTTGCCCTGCCTGGTGGCCCCGGCACCCACAGTGAACCGTGATCCTCTGAAAGCCATGGCCTCTGTGTCAAGTCTCCCCCCAACCCTACCCCGGATTGTGAGCCTGCCTTTCAAATGCTCCCCGCTTCTCTGAAAGCCCATCTGGCTCACTGGTTATTAAGAATAAAAATTATGACGATCAGCACAGAACAGCAGAACTGGAAGAGATGGCTAAACTGTTTCTCTTTTGCAGAAACTGCAAGTCCCCTGATTTCCAACCCTTTCCCTCTCCTACAGAGTAAGTGATGGTCCTGGCCGGGGGGCTGGAGAGGGCAAGGCAGGGCAGGGAGGGAACTCAGCCGGCCACATGCTCCTGGAGCCTCCAGGCTGTGTGCGATGGGCCTCAGGCTGCCCTCCCAGGCAGACCCGGCAGCCGGTGGAAGCAGGCCCAGGTCCAGCCCTGGGCGGGTGGAGCAGTTTGGATGGGGTGGGGCAGAGCCCTGACCAGCAGCTGCTTTGGCTCTGCTGCCCAGCCCTGGCAGGAGCTCAGGCCTTCCCATTCGCGGTCATCAGGCAGCCTCAGGACACCTCTTCCGAGCCCCATCGCAGCCCTCCTTTTTCTCGTTTTCCTTGCTGTTCTTCCCAGCCTGCTTTCTTTTTCCTTCTTTCTCCCCTTCTCCCTCTTCTCCATGAGTATTGGGAGCAGAGAGCCGAGTGATCCGGGCCCCTGTGCCCCTTGCACCCATTCCCACACGTGCCCTCTCTCACTCCTCCCTCCCTCTCCCTCCCTTTCCCCATCGGATGCCCACTTCCTCCTGCTTCTCTGTGGCTTTCTCTGCTTCTTACCCCTTCCCTTACGTCTGTTATCTTGGTTTTTGTTCATTCATACACTCATTCATTTGTTCACTTAGCAAAAGTGACCTCATGTGGTTCCACAGAGAGAGCTGGACTGTGACGCCATGAGACTGGGTCTCTGCCCTGAGAGGGCCACTGGTCTGTTGATGTTGATGTTGTCCCCCTCCCCCCATCTCAAGTGCGCAGAACAGTGGCTGGCACGCAGTAAGCACTCAATAAATAGCTGCTCGGTTGAGCTGATGGTCTCTCTCTGCATGGCTTCCCTCTCCATCGTTTTTCCCCAGCCTCTCCCTCATGAGTCCAGTGACAGGGGAGGCAGGCAGGCTTGGCTCTGAGCACAGAGACCCAGTGTGTGTTTGGGTTCCCACTTGCAAAGCTGCCTGCAGCCCAGCAGAAGGTGTCTGCGTTGGCTCCGCCCCTCACGCGGCTGCCTCGTTTCTCCCTCCAGAACCCTACACCTGCGGCGCCTGTGGGATCCAGTTCCAGTTCTACAACAACCTGTTGGAGCACATGCAATCTCATGCAGGTAAGGGTCCCAGCAGCCCACCAGGGATACGGCTCCTCTCCCGCTCCCCTTCCTCAGTTCCTGCAAATGGAAGAGATGGCCAGAGCCTGACCCGAGGCCCCCAGGGAAGGCCACTGTTTCCTGGAAAATGGTCGCAGGACATGGAAGGGGGCCCTAGTCAGTCAGTTATTAACACGGGCTGGTCTGTGCTCTGCAGGTGGGGGTGGTGAAGGGGCAGCACAGGGTCTGTGGGAACACGGAGAGATGGGACAGAGTTGAAAAGACTTCCTGGAGGTGGTGGCCTCTTAGCTGGGCCTAGAGGCCAAGTCAGAGCTAACCTGGAAGCAAAATGTCCAGGTGGAAATGGAACATGGTTTGAGATCAAGGTGAGCAGAGGCAAAAGGTGGGGATGGCCAGACATGCAGCCCCAGGCAAGCTGGGCTGAGGCCCGCCTCCGAGCAGTCTGATTCACTAACACCCTATGTCCCATAATGCGGTTGCGCCCACACTTGAGCACACGTCAGAATCACCAGGAGGGCTTGCTAGATGCAGATTTCTAGGCTCCGTTGTGAATTTCTGATTCTGTAGGTCTGCAGAGGAGGGGACTAGGATTTGCATTTCGGGTAAGTCTTAAGACAGTGCTGATGCTGCTGGTTCAGGGACCGTCCTTTGAGAATCACCGCTCTGGAGCTCCAGGCTCAGTCATCTCTCTAGGCAACCTTTTTATCACATTTCACCACAGCATAACACGGGTCTCAGGGAGACACTATTTGCTGGAATAAGTAATTACAAATTCTCAGTGGTTAAACATACAAATCATTGACTTCTCGCTCACAGTACAGCCTAATGCACATGACGTAGCTGGATGGCTTTCACATGGTGACTCAGGGATCAAGGATCTTTTTTTTCCTTATAGCTCCATCCTCTTCTGGATCCTCAAGAGTCCTCTCTCTTTGTGGATAGGGAGAGGGGCTCTGGGGCAGGCACACTTCTTTACCATTTTAGACCACAAGTGACACCTGTAGATGCTCAAATTCCACTGTGGAGAATTAATCACATGACCAGCCTGAATCCATGGGTGGAAGCATGCCCAGGGCCATTGTCCCAGGACAGCTGGACACGTTGCAAAGGGAAACGTGAGTCTGGGGAGTCAGCTAGCTGTCCCTCCACCCCTTTCCCCAGAGAAATTCTCTAGGGTCATTAGAAATAATGGGTGAGAAGTGCCTGACATATAATGGGGGACAGTAATTGGTAGCTACTATCATTTCACCTGTTACTGTTATTGTACAGATCTTTCATATCGTCTCCCAGGTCTGACCTGACTAGCATAGAGCATTACAGGACTAGAATCTCTTTTGGGCTAAGTACTGATCTATTAGTGTAATCTCTATCATTCATTCATTCATCCAACATATAGTAATTGTGTACCTGCTGTATACGAGGCACTAAATCAGATCATCTTTTTGGGGGAGCCTATTATTTATTTCTAATGAACTTAAAATCAGGACAGAGCTCTGGAGTGGCAGCCAAGGCACTGGCCTCTGAGACCTGCTCTAACTGGTGTGTCTTGGTGCTATGTGACCTTCCGCAGAAAACTCTGCCTCCGTCTCTAAAGTGAGGACCTGCAAATCCCCATCTCCAGCAACCTTTCCCACACCACGCTTCCCACCTCCTGCTTTCCTCGTCGTCAGCTGTGCCTCACCAGGGAAGGCCTCGAATGCCACCTCAAGGCATTTAGACTTGACTCCTTGGGGAAGCAGGACCCCCAGGCTAGTGACAACAGCTGGTGGGCCTCTTGGGAACCACCGCCTGAACATCTGGCTCAGTCCCGAGACTCCCACGGCAAGGCCCCCCGCATTCCTCCTCTGAATCCCCAGCACTCTGCCCGCACCCTGCCAGCGTCTGGAAGCTGAGCTGTGATTAGGGAAGAGCCTGGATGCCAGTGCTCTCCCATCCCTGGAGGCCTTTAAAATGCAAATCAGGGCTGAGCCTTGAGGTGGCCCCACCTCTCCCAAGCATCTTGACTTGTTTTCTGAGTGGAGCCCTGGGCTGCTTTGTTCTGGTTCAGCGCTGCCAGAGAATGCCTGGCCAGCAATCCAGCGCAAAGCCAGGCTGAATCCCAGCCACACTGAATCGGGATTAAAGGCTTGGCTCCATAGAGAGAAATTAAGCGTCATGAGCTGCGCAGTTCACAGCGCCACCGATAAGGAGGATCAGCCTCGAGTAACACCAATCTCATTATGGGGCTGCTGAATGGCACAGGGTAATTCCCACTAATAAACTTCCTTTCTGTGCTGTAGGAAAACCTGGCGTGCCTTCGTGACGTTGGAGAAGTGCTTTGGCAGTAATAAGACCACAGATAGCTAAAGTTTTGTGAGTGCTTTCTGTGCATCAGTTGTGGTACTGAGAGCTTTACCTAGTTATTTCATCAGATCTTCCTGATTAGGTAATTGACAGTTTTAATCCCCATTATGCAGATGATGAAACAGAGGCTCAGAGAACATAATCACTGGCCCAGAGTCGCCCAGCTCATAAGCAAGCATCCAGTAGCATTTGAGCTTTTACTTGGTGCCAGGCCTTGTTCTAAGACTTTTACGTATATTCATTCGCTTAATTCTCACAACAACCCCCGGCATTAAGTGCTCATCACAGCTCCACTTCACACATTGGTTAAGTAACTTGTCCAAGGCTATGCAGTCACAGTGGCAGGCTGTGGATAGGATTCCAGGTCTCGCAGTGAACTCCAGAGCCCATGCTGTCAGCATCCACCCTGTGCAGCTTTGGGTAGACCTGATAGAAGATGAGCAGAGATGGAAGCCCTCTCAGAGGTCACTCTTTCAGCCTCCTCATTCAGTTACAGCCAGGGGGACCACAGCTAAGAGGGGTTGGGAGACCTTACAGACAGCAAGCAACCTGGCAGCTCAGGGGTGTAGGATTTTGGAGGTGACCACACTTGGTTTCTTTCTTTCTTTTTTTGAGACAGAGTCTTGCTCTGTCACCCAGGCTGTAGCGCAGTGGCGTGATCTCAACTGTATACCTGCAACCTCCGCCTCTGGGCTCAAGCAATTCTTGTGCCTTGGCCTCCCTAGTAGCTGGGATTATAGCTGTGCACCACCATGCCTAGCCAGTTTTTGCCCAGCCTGGGTGACAGAGCGAGATTCTATCTCAAAAAAAAAAAAAAAAAAATTACCAGGCATATAAAATTTACCAATTTGAAGAGTACAGTTTGATTGGTTTGGACAAATGTATGCTGGTGTTTACCATCACAATCAAAATACATAACATTGGCTGGACATGGTGGCTCACGCCTATAATCCCAGCTCTTTCAGAAGCTAAGGAGGGAAGGTTGCTTGAGTCCAGGAATTTGAGATCAGTCTGGACAACATAGCAAGACCCTGTCTCTAAAAAAAAAAACTTAAAATTGAAAATTTTTTTTTTTTTTTTTTTGAGACGGAGTTTCGCTCTTGTTACCCAGGCTGGAGTGCAATGGCATGATCTCGGCTCACCGCAACCTCCGCCTCCTGGGTTCAGGCAATTCTCCTGCCTCAGCCTCCTGAGTAGCTGGGATTACAGGCACGTACCACCATGCCCAGCTAATTTTTTTTGTATTTTTAGTAGAGACGGGGTTTCACCATGTTGACCAGGATGGTCTCGATCTCTTGACCTCGTGATTCACCCGCCTCGGCCTCCCAAAGTGCTGGGATTACAGGCTTGAGCCACCGTGCCCGGCCTGAAAAAATTTAAAAAAAAAAAATTAAAATTGAAAAAACTTGGGGTGCAGTGGTTCACACCTGTAATCCCAACACTTTGGAAAGCTGAGGCAGGAGGACTGCTCAAGGCCAGGAGTTTGAGACCAGTCCTGGTCACCATAGCAACACTCTGTCTCTACAGAAAATTTAAAAATTAACCATGCATGGTAGCACACACCTGTAGTTCTAGCAGTTTAGGAGGCTCACGTAGGAGGATGGCTTGAGCCCGGGAGGTTGAGGCTGCAGTGAGCTATGATGGTGCCACTATACTCCAGCCTGGGTGAGGGAGCAAGACCCTGTCTCTAGAATATAAAAATAATATTACCATCAACCCAGAAAGTTTCTTCAAGCCTCTTTGCAGTCATACCCTTTCTCCTACTGTTGCCACTGGCAACTACCATCTGCTTTCTGTCGCTATGGTTTTGCCTGTATTGGATATTATTATATACGGAGTTCTATGGTATTCAGCCTCTTGTGTCTAACTTCTCTCACTTAACATACCTGTGAAGTTTGCCCGTGTTCTGTGTTATCAGTAATTCCTTTATTCGACTGAGCTGTATTTCATGGTCTAGACATACCACAATTTGTTTATCCATTCACCACCTGATGGTCATTTAATCTCCAGTTTGGGACTATCATAAATAACACTGCTATGAACATTCATGTACAAGTCATGTGCATGTGTAGACACGTATTTTTAACTCCTTTGGGTGTATACCTGGAAGTGGAGATGCTGGGCTGTAAGGTAATTCTGTTTAATCCTGTGAGGAATTGCCAAATAGTTTCTTAAGGTGGCTGTAACATTTTTACATTTCTGCCAACAGTGTATGAGTATTCTAATTCTCCATATCCCTGTCTTCACTTTTTATCATCTTCCTTCTTGATTATGGCCATGCTAGTGTGTGTGAAATGGCATTTCATTGCGGTTTTGACATATTTCTCTGACAGCTAATAATGTTGAGCATCTGTTCATGTGCTCATTGACCACATTGGCAAAGGATCTGAATAGACATTTCTCCAAAGGAGATATACCCAGTAATGGGATTGCTGGATCAAATGGTAGATCTACTTTGAGGTCTTTAAGGAATCTCCACCCTGTTTCGTAGTAGTTGTGGTAGTTCACATTCCCACCAGCAGTGTAAGTGTTTCCTTTCCACCACATCCTTGCCAACGTCTATTATTTTTTTATTTTTTAATTACAGCCATTCTTGCAGGCGTAAGGTGGTATCGCACTGTGGCTTTGATTTGCATTTCCCTCATAATTAGTGATGCTGAACATTTTTTCATATGTTCATTGGCCATTTGTATATCTTCTTTTGAGAATTGTCTATTCATGTCTTTTTTGATGGGATTGTTTGCTTTTTTCTTGCTGATTTGAGTTCCTTGTAGATTCTGGATATTAGTCCTTTGTCAGATTCATAGTTTGCGAAGACTTTATCCCACTCTGGGTTATCTGTTTACTCTACTGGTTATTTCTTTTGCTGGGCAGAAGGTTTTGTATGTAAGACCCATCTATTTATCTTCGTTTTTGTCGCATTTGCTTTTGTGTTCTTGGTCATGAAGTCTTTGCCTAAGCCAGTGTGTAGAAGCATTTTTCTGATGTTATCTTCTAGAATTTGTATGATTTCAGGTCTTAGATTTAAGTCTTTGATCCATCTTGAGTTGATTTGTTGTATAAGGTGAGAGACGAAGATCCAGTTTCATTCTTCTATGTGTGGACTGCCAATTACCCCAGCACCATTTGTTGAATAGGGTGTTCTTGCCCCAGTTTATGTTTTTGTTAGCCTTGTCGAAGGTCAGTTGGCTGTATTTGGCTTTATTTCTGGATTCTCTATTCTGTTCTATTGGTCTGTGTGCCTATTTTTGTGCCAGTACCATGCTGTTTTGGTTACTATAGCCTTGTAGTATAGTTTTGAAGTCCAGTAATGTGATGCTTCCAGATTTATTCTTTTTTGCTAAGCCTTGCTTTCGCTACACAAGCTCTTTTTTTTGGTTCCATATAAATTTTAGGATTGTTTTTTCTAGTTCTGTGAAGAATAATGATGTTGTTTTGATGGGAATTGCATTGAAAATTTGTAGATTGCTTTTGGCAGTATGATCATTTTCACAATATTGATTCTACCCATCCATGAGCATGGGATGTGTTTCCATTTTTTTGTGTCATCTATGATTTCTTTCAGCGGTGTTTTGTAGTTTTCTCTGTAAAGGTCTTTCACCTCCTTGGTTAAGTGTATTCTTAAGTTTTTGTTTTTGTTTTTGTTTTGCAGCTTTTGTAAAAGGGGTTGAATTCTTGATTTGATTTCCAGCTTGGTCACTGTTGGTGTATAGCAGTGCTACTGATTTGTGTACATTGATGATGTATCCTGCAACTTTACTAAATTCATTTATCATTTCTAGGAGCTTTTTGGAGGAGTCTTTAGGATTTTCTAGGTATATGGTCATATTATCAGTGAACAGCCTTTGCCCATTTTTAATTGTATTTTTTATATCCTTTATTGAGTTGTGAGAGTTCTTTATATATTCTAGATACAAGATCCCTATAGATAGATAATTTGAAAATCTCTTTCCCATTCTGTGGGTTGCCTTTTACTTTCTTGATGTCTTTCAAAGTGTAAAAGCATTTAATTTTGAAGTCCATTTATCTATGTTCTCTGTGTTTTTGGTGTCATATCCAGGCAGTGGTGTCAAGAAATCACTTTCTAACCAAAGTCACAAAGACGTAATCAATTCATATGTTTCCTATGGTTCCTTATAAAACTCTAAGAATTTTATAGTTTAGCTCTTACATTTCTCTATTTCATATTGAGTTTATTTTTATATGTGTGTGGGGTGGGAGTCCAGCTTCATTCTTTTACATGTGGGTATCTGGTTGTCCCAGCGCCATTTGTTGAAAAGACTATTTTCCCCATTGAATTGTTCTGATAACCTTGTCAAAACTCAGTTGACTATAAATGTGGGTGTTTATTTCTCTATTACCAGTTGTATTCCATTGATCTGTATGTCTGTCCTGCACCAGTATTACACTGTCTTGATTACTATAGCTTTGTAGTAGTTTGGAAATCAGAAAGTATATTCCTCCAATGTTGTCCTTTTTCTAAATTGTTTTGACTATTCTGTATCTCTGGTATTTCCATGTGAATTTCAGGATCAGCTTGTCAGTTTTTGCAAAAAACAAAACAACAACATGGATTTTGATAAGGATTGTGTTTAATCTAGATGGTTGGGACATTCCATGTTCATGGACTGAAATACTTAAGATTTTAACAATAAGTCTTCCAGTCCATGAACATGGAATATCTTTTCAGGACTCAGACCAGTCCCGTTCACCATAGCTTAGGTCTTTTTTGAGTTCTTTCAACAGTGTTTTTAGTTTTCTGTGTTCAATTCTTATACTTTTAAAATGTTAATCCTAAGTAATTATTTTCAAAGCTATTATAAATGGAATTGTTTTCTTAACTCAACTTTTGGAATATTTATCACTAGTATAGAAAAATACCATTTTGTTTTATGTATTGATCTTGCATCCTGCAGCCTTGCTGAATTTGTTTACTGTAATTGTTTTATGTGTATGTGGAGTCCATAAGATTTTCTATAGGCACAATCATGTCTGCAGTTAGAGATCATTTACTTCTTCCATTCCAATCTGGGTGTCTGTCTTTTTGCACCTAATTGTTCTAGCTAGAACTTCTAATACAGTTGTCCACCACACGATGCAATGATGGACTGTGTATATGACAGCGGTCCCATAAAACTATAGTATCCTGTTTTTACTATACCTTTTTCTATGTTCAGATACATAAATATTTATCATTGTGTTACAGTTGCCTGAAGTATTGAGTACAGTAACACACCATACAGGTTTGTAGCCTAGAAGCAGTAGGCTATGCCATATAGCCTGGGTGAATAATAGGATATACCATCTAGGTTTGTATAAGTACACTTTATAATGTTTGCACAATGACAAAATCTTCTAACAATACGTTTCTCAGAACGTATGTCTAACATGACTGTACAAGGTGAATAGAAGAAACGAGAGTGAGAGTGAACGTTCTTACCTTGTTCTTTATCTTAGGGAGAAAGCTTTCATTGTTTCACCAGTAAGCATGTTGTTAGCTGTAGGGTTTTGGTAGATGCCCTTTATTAGGCTGGAAAACTTCGTTTCATTCCTAGTTCATTGAGCGTTTTTATCATGAAAAAGGTGTTAGATTTTGTCAAATGCTTTTCTGCATCTATTGAGATGATCATGTGATTTTTGTCCTTTATTAGCATGGTGTATTACATTTATTTTTGTATGTTTAATTAACTATATTCCTGGAGTAAATCCCACTTGGTCATGGTATGGAATCCTCCGTGCGTGTTGCTGGATTATTACATCACAGGATCACAATGAGGCCGCCAGGTTCATAGCAGAACAGTAATACTGAAAACGGCAGAACCGGAAACCTAGGACATGAGAGTGTGGTGAAGCGGGCTGTGGTATATCATATATGACAGAAGTCCATGTGGCATCTGTGGTGACGAGAATGACTCAGACCATCTCCTATTCAGAAATGATCCCACAGACATATCAGGGAGTAACCATGCATCCAGGAGAACAGGCATATACCAGTTACTTATCACTGCATACAGCTGTGTATGTGCAAGTCAACAAACACGAGAGAAGCATGTGGAGAACACATCCAGGAACTGGGAACCTGGGGTTGTTTCCCAGCCCTGCTGCTGTTTTCTCTGAGATCTTGGGCAAATTTTTTCTTATATCCCAGCTTGAGTCTCCATGTCGTACAGTGAGGGGTTTGATAATTTGCTGCTTTGTATCACACATGGCTTTGGTTTTGTTCTGTCCATTTAATATAATGTCTAGTCAATATGGTTTAAAAATTCAAACTTTGAGGCAGAGAGTGTGAGGAGTTTTTGGCCGCTTAGGGAGTGCGACCGGTACTCCCTTCCCTCCGTATCAGCTAGAACTCGTGGTTGTATGCAGGGAATGTGGGGTTCCCAGCCAGGCTTGGGACGCAGGGCTTCCCATTTCCAGAGTTCGCTCAGTACCATGTACTGTGCTAAGTGCTCCTTGCATTGTAACTCTTGTTAGTCCCACCGGCAATTGTGTAATGTCCATATGATTACCTTCATTTTCTCCGATGATAACAATAAGACTTTGCAAGGATAGATAGTTGTCTAAAGAGGAGCCAGGATTTTAAACCAGGCCTGAGTCCCAATGGCCACATTCTGCTGTGACCCACTACACTCCAGTTCTCGTCTTGGTTATCAACAGGCCTCTTACCCTTCCAGGTAACACACTGTCCCCTTTGTGCCCACAGCTGACAATGAAAACAACATTGCCTCCAACCAGTCCCGGTCACCACCTGCTGTTGTAGAAGAGAAGTGGAAACCTCAGGCCCAGAGGAACAGCGCCAATAACAGTAGGTCTCCCCACGCAGGGCTGGAACTGAAGGGTCCCTTATGTGCCATTTGTTCCTCCCTGCCCCTCATTCCCACCAGGTGTGCTTCCTGTGATGTCGCAAGATGATGCATGATAATTTTCAAAGCACTTTTCCACCTAAGACCTTGTTTGCAGGAGTTCTTAACTCAGGGGATGGGCAGAAGGAGGCCCAGGGCGAGGAGGTGGATTTTTTTGTGGTCAGAAAGCACCAATTTGTGCCAGAATGAGAACTAGACCCACCTCTCCACAATTTCTGCTGGCCACTCTTTCCTGACATCATGATTCCACGTATTTTTTTTTTTTCCTGAAGGCTCCTGTATTAGAGGAAATTCCTATATTGAGGAAGAAATTAGACTAGTTAGCTTCAAAGGTCTAGATCAGGCGTCCCCAAACTACGGCCCGCGGGCCGCATGCGGCTCCCTGAGGCCATTTATCCGGCCCCCCGCCGCACTTCAGGAAGGGGCACCTCTTTCATTGGTGGTCAGTGAGAGGAGCACAGTATGTGGCGGCCCTCCAACGGTCTGAGGGACGGTGAACTGGCCCCCTGTGTAAAAAGTTTGGGGACGCCTGCTCTAGGTAAATGACATATACTGCGATTATGTTGCATACATACCCACTACATTTTATTCCCATGCCGACAGCAGGCATTACTAATCAATCATAGAACTTTATCCCTATGAGACCATCACATATTAAAGGCAGCCAGCACCGTCAAGGTGTGTGCAAGAGGAAATTGATTTCTCATTCCCGATACTAGATGCTTAAGAGTATTAGGCTACTGCCACCCCAAGCAGCCTTGAATGCCACAGTTAATCCCGTCTCTCTTTGTATCCTCTGCCAGCCACCACCAGTGGTTTAACACCCAACAGCATGATCCCCGAGAAAGAGCGGCAGAACATCGCAGAGCGGCTGTTGAGGGTCATGTGTGCCGACCTCGGCGCACTCAGCGTGGTCAGCGGGAAGGAGTTCCTGAAGTTGGCCCAGACCTTAGTAGACAGTGGTGCCCGCTACGGGGCCTTCTCAGTCACTGAAATCCTGGGCAACTTCAACACGCTGGCGCTGAAGCACCTGCCACGGATGTACAACCAGGTGAAGGTGAAAGTGACCTGTGCCCTGGGTAGCAATGCCTGCCTAGGCATCGGTGTCACCTGCCACTCCCAGAGCGTCGGCCCCGACTCTTGCTACATCCTCACTGCCTACCAGGCCGAGGGCAACCACATCAAGAGCTACGTCCTGGGTGTGAAGGGTGCGGACATTCGCGACAGCGGCGACCTCGTGCACCACTGGGTGCAGAACGTGCTGTCGGAGTTCGTGATGTCGGAGATCAGGACAGTGTACGTGACAGATTGCCGAGTGAGCACGTCCGCCTTCTCCAAGGCCGGCATGTGCCTTCGCTGCTCGGCCTGTGCCTTGAACTCGGTGGTGCAGAGCGTGCTGAGCAAGCGGACGCTGCAGGCCCGCAGCATGCACGAGGTCATCGAGCTTCTCAACGTGTGTGAGGACCTGGCGGGCTCCACAGGCCTGGCCAAGGAGACCTTCGGGTCGCTGGAGGAGACGTCGCCACCGCCCTGCTGGAACTCGGTGACGGACTCCCTGTTGCTGGTGCATGAGCGCTACGAGCAGATCTGCGAGTTCTACAGCCGGGCCAAGAAGATGAACCTCATCCAGAGCCTCAACAAGCACCTGCTCAGCAACCTGGCAGCCATCCTGACGCCGGTGAAGCAGGCGGTCATCGAGCTGAGCAACGAGAGCCAACCCACCCTGCAGCTGGTGCTGCCCACCTATGTCAGGCTGGAGAAGCTGTTCACGGCCAAGGCCAATGACGCGGGCACCGTCAGCAAGCTCTGCCACCTCTTCCTGGAGGCGCTCAAGGAGAACTTCAAGGTGCACCCAGCCCACAAGGTGGCCATGATCCTGGACCCGCAGCAGAAGCTGCGGCCCGTGCCGCCCTACCAGCACGAGGAGATCATCGGCAAGGTCTGCGAGCTCATCAACGAGGTAAAGGAGTCCTGGGCTGAGGAGACCGACTTCGAGCCCACCGCCAAGAAGCCCCGCTCTGCCGTGGGCGAGAACCCCGCAGCTCAGGAAGACGATCGGCTGGGCAAAAATGAAGTGTACGATTACCTGCAGGAGCCCCTCTTCCAGGCTACCCCTGATCTCTTCCAGTACTGGTCATGCGTTACCCAAAAGCACACAAAACTCGCCAAGCTCGCCTTCTGGCTCCTGGCGGTTCCGGCCGTGGGTGCCAGAAGCGGGTGTGTAAATATGTGTGAACAAGCGCTTCTAATCAAACGGAGGCGGCTGCTCAGTCCGGAAGATATGAATAAACTCATGTTTCTGAAATCCAACATGCTTTAAGACTTGACTTCGGGGAAAAAAAAGAAGATAACATTAGAAAAAAACCACACAACACTGTCACAAACAAAAGGAATTTAAGTTCTAAACACTGTGGACCTCATTATAAATGCCCCCTGGAAACTTAAGTGCTTTTTTCCATATGCGTGTGTGTGTGTCTGCGTGTGTGTACACAGCCACACGTGTGTGCATGTGTTTGAATACATGTGCTGTGGTTGTGAGGGTGTAGGGGGTCTCTGTGCTCCTCTGCGGGGCCAGAGAAACTTTGCACACACACACACACACACACACACACCACCCTGGTGCATGTACACACGCCTGTTCTTGGACGGGTGTGCATTGAACTGGGCGTGTCAGGAAAGCTGAGCAATTGGGAAAGAGGGAGATGCTTCACCTCCTTTTCTCAGTATGGGGGCTTTAGAAGACTCCGTTTTCAGGTGTGCAGATTGGTAGAAAGCTGATGTTGTGAAATGTTCAGGCAGCTGAGATCTGAAGTGACTTGATGCTCTCTGTCCTTCACCCCGGTCCCCCTTTTCCCTCCTTAACCCTCCCCTGGCCCTCCCACCCTCCTGATCCCATTGTGCACCCCCCCCCCATCCCCTCGGCTGCTCTGCTGTGGACTCTCCCTGCTGCATCAGATGGACGGTTTCTGCACTGGACTTTGTTTCTCGTTCACCTTCAGGGCATTGAGCTGCTGCCTTCGTGATACCCCTTGGGTGTCCCGGGGCAGCCGCCTTAGAAACACACCTATCTATCTCCCCAAATCAGGAAAGGAGACTTTAAGAGTATAAAGCTGGCATTTTGCTTTTTAATATAAGAGAGGAGAAAAAGACATTTTTCAGAGAAGTATAGATACTGTCTCCATTCCCTAATAATTTCTCTCCCTAACATTTTAGCAGTTTTTGCCTTGTTTGGGGGTTGATTTTGTTTCTTCAAATTTGATTTAGACTCTGCTAGGAGGCACTGAATGTCTATAACTTATGTTTTGGAGTTTGGTTTTTCTGCTTACCCCTTTCCTTCCTCGAGTCACACTGTAAACTAGCTCATCTCAGTGGTATACTCAGTGTCCTACGGTCTTTCTTGGCCTTCCCTGTACAGTTTGGTTTTCACGTATTTGAACAGCCAGGACCAGGTTCTTGGTTGTGCTATTTGGAGACCAGGGGTTGGGGAGGAGTCGCGGGTTCCACAGCTGTGGGGTTTGGTGGCCGTAGGGGAAGCAGTGGTTCAGGAGTTCTGAATGTAAGCGCCAGAGCTGCCCTCTTGGTCCGCCATGCGTGGTACCCAGTGTGCGTCACTACTCATCACTTCCCCAACCCTGGCGGTCCACCGGGACTCCAAAGTCGATCCATAGTCACATCCACCCTCCCCACCCCAGACCTGCCACAGCCTCGCCTCCCTTCCCGGGACCCTTGGGCTTCCGGGAGTTCTGCTGCCCATAGCCCTCGGGGTCCCCACTCACACCTCCGACTTCCTTCCAGGACGGCGGTGAGCATGGTGCCTTGTGGCCCATACAGTTGATGTTCCGAGGGTGGGATGGCGTTCAGTCACATTCGACTCAATGCTGTGAAAGATGTCTTCAGGCTTTTCTCTCCTGTTCCTCCAGCCGTGAGCAAATTAGGTTCTACACACACAGTTCAGATGCCAAGGGTGACACCCCATTCCCTTCACAAGAGGTGGTTCTGTCACAGATCACCCCCACTGCACCTCTCAGTAAATAAAGTGCTGGTGGTCACACTCCCCCGGTGACCCTTAGCATGGGATGGGGTGGTTATACTAGGGCTTCAGGCTGAGAATGGCCATCATGGTGGGAGGCCGTTTGCAAAGGCACCTTCTATCACCCTGGGGTTGGCAAGGTCCGCTCCACCCCTTCCCAGTAATAAAGCATTACTCAACTGTGAGATACCTCGACTACAGAAAGCACTGTACCACAGCCCTCTCCCCACAGGTCCGTGACGGGAGCAGGGAGGAAAGCTGATTGCAAACCTCAAGAAGGCTTAGGACCATGGACCTGGAATGGTGGTGTTTGGAAGCCAAGCCTGCACACTTTGCCTCATGAGAACTCACCCACTCTCCCCTCGAGTCTTGGACACACTGAAATGGATCAGAGTGGACCATTTCCACTTTTGCTCCAGCAAGCCGTGGTCTCAGGAACTACCGTGCCATTTCCTCTCCTGGAGAAGTTCTAGGTGTTTCCTCCACAACGTTTCCACCTGGGGGGCCGGGCCCACCGTCAGAGAAGAGCCTCTGTCCACCCTGGAGCAGGAAGGGAGAGCAATCCAGACAGGAACCTCATGTCACTCCCTAGGGAGTATGGAAAGAAACATCAGTAGACTTCTCAGTTGGGCCTTTGGAGGCATTCTGGAAGGTGGCCTTAGTGTCACTGATGATTGGCGGATGCCTACAGTGAAAGGTCCCTCTAGCCTTGCTTGACTGCTGGGGAAGGGACCGTGACCTAGCACTTTGAGAGCAGAGCCCTGGAACCCATCCTCCCTCTACTTGGAGCGGAGTTGTGCTGGTGGTGCCCCATGACTGGGCCAGTCGATTAGAAAACAGGCGTTTCACTTTCCTGCAAAGCCATCAGACCAAACCCAGTGTGCATTTAGAGCACTCAGCATTCTCCTCTTTGAAGCATGGGATGTCTGCCCTCCAGGAAGAGAACTGATCACAGCTTGTACCTCCCTTTCCATTCTTTTCCACCTCAATTCAGTACTTAGGGGTTGGCTTGCCTCTGCAGGTTTGCTGTGAATGCCGCTAGGTACTCAGAAAGCTGTCCTCTGGGGCGGCCTTGTCTAGTTAGATAACAAGGTAGCAGGTGATCATTGCTTTCTTGCAGCCTCTGGTTTCCTCCGGAAACTGGTGTCGCCAACAGGAAAGGCTGTACCAAGGTGCCCTCTCAGTCTGCCTTCTCAGGCTGTTCTCGGAGTGCAAATCCTGCTGCAACTAACAGCTTCATAAAACCCAAAGATCTCACAGGCCTCGCCACTGGCCCACTTGTCTCCAGCAATATCCACCTCACCTAATTCTAGTTCAGCCAAAGGATCGAGACAGGCTCTTCCAGTTCATCTCCCGGTGTCCGGCCTGACCTTCACTTCTGGAAGGATTTTGTCAGCTGCCTCCCGGTTCTGGGGCCACTGAAGGCCTTTGCATCACAGGCCTTTGGGGGATCTGGGACCAGGAAGTTGGGCCATTTCTACCATATTCTCAGCAGCCCAAGGTGGTGGCCTGCTGATGTGGACACAACTCGCCTCCAGCCTTGTGGTCCCCAGGACAGAAACGGCCTTTGTTTTAACCTACATGGACCCAAGAGGGGAGGTGGAGGAAACACACCAAACACGCCTCCACCTGGCAAGTTTTTCCTCCTCGTCGGAGGTCAGTTTGCATCACCAACAAAGCCCAAGCCAAGAACCACAACATTGCGGGTGGTTCCTCGGAGTGGCCTAGCCCGAGGAATCTCAGGTCCCCCAGGAGCAGTGGTGCCATCGGGCCCCAGGTGGATGCCCTTGTTCTGGCACAGTTCTCCATGCCCATACTTCCCAATGCCTGGCTTAGCCAGCCAAACCTCCCTCGAATGGCATTTAGTAACCAGGGAGCAAAACGGATCCCACCTGGGTGAAACTGCCTGCACTTCATCTCCGGGGGCTCGCTGCACAGAGGCCACCTGCCACGTCACCCACGAGCAAGCTTCACCACCATCCTGCTTGGTGGTGTCACACTTGACATCTGGGGGTTGGTTTTTGGCCGAAAAAGGGTACCAGGGTTTCCTGGCAAGGACAGGAGGGCAGTGCAGCGACACAGATGAGAAGCCGTAAGTCTCCAGGATTTGAGGAAGCCACCAGGTATGTAGGCTGGCAGGAGTCTTCTCTTTCTGTCTGACCCTTTATCTCCTGCACTTTCAAAGAAACACCAGAGAAAAATTCTATAAGGCGTGTTTCCACTGTGAAGCTGAACCTCTGTCTTTAGGAGTCCCCTAGTTTTGACCAAGGCCACCTGCTTCCCCTTGAACTTGAGCTGGACTCCTTGAAGAGTGGGCATCTGGAGAGATGTCAGGGACACAGCTCATGCTCTCTGGGGGGCCTCAGGGTCGTCGGGAAGCTTTGAAATGAAGATGAGAAGTGGTTGGAGCAGGCTGTGGGATGGCTCCATTGGGGTCACTCCCCTCATCTTGTCATCACAGTGGATGTGCTGGAAGAGGAGGCATCCCAGTGAGCCGCCCCAAGTCCATAGCTTTGCCCTCACCTTGGGAACAGCGGCAATGCCTCCATCTCTGGGATGCATCTTAAGGAGGGCTCCTAACAAGGCCTATGATTTAGACAGAACCGAGAGACTAAGTAAGGTCCAGCCATCCCCTGGAGCCAGTAGGTGGGAGCTCCTGTCCCCACCAGTCCTGCCACAGCCCCTGTGTCCAGCTGGGCCAGTGGGAGAACTGGGTAGGAGGCTGCCCCCCGCTTCACTGTGGCTAATGTTTGCTAGGCCAGTTATGGTGAACCAATGATCCAGTGTTTTCCCTCCTATGTTTCCCTCCTAGTTTCGCCTTTTCAGGGTTTTCTGGGGGATTTTGTTGTGGTGGTTGTTTCTCTTCCTCTCTCTTTTGGGTTTGAGGATTGTGGTCGGGGGAGCCCTGGCTTTCGCCAGAGGAGCCCGGTGGTTTCTATGGAAGAGGCACCCAATCCCACTTTAACGAGGGTGAAGATTGTCAGGTCACTGTTTGACATAATTCATGCCCCCTCAGCCCACCACCACGGGTGTCGCTTTAAAGAGTCAGTTCTTGTACAGAGAAGGATTTGCGAGGTTCGCAGTTGGGCGTTAGCGTCACCACTCGCGAGGGCCGCGCCCAACCATGCATCCTATGGGGCACCTTGACTCTTCAAACCAAAATTCCTTAAAGGGGCACAGCCCAGCCTTGTCCGCAACCTCAGGGGCCTGGGATTCCTGTGGCGCTTCCTGAATTCCAGGTTGGCACAGATGATGAGGTCTGAGACCAGCCAGAAGGAGGGGCTCCTCCCACAACCCAGGTGCCAGCCGGTCTCCGCCTAGAACCTTCCCTCCCACCCAGCTGGGGTGGGCGGCATCCCACGTGGTGAAAGGAGCTCGTGGACTGACCTAGGCTGGGCCTCGCCAGCCAGGAGAGAGCGAGGGCCGCACGGGGGGCTGGCCCAGGCAGCTCGTCCAGGGCCATTCAGATCCCAAGCATCAGGAAATCATTTTGTACAACCACCCGAAGCAGAGAGATTTTTTAAAAAGCATAAATTATTTTCAGTTGTTTTCTGATCCTGCCTTTTTCTTTCCCCCACACTTTCACATCAGTGATTTGTTCACATCAGGTAAATCTTGAGAAAGCCTTGGTGCCCTCCTGCCCACCCCCACTCTAACCACGTGTGTACATCACCCCCGTCCTTTCTCAGTAGTTAAGACGTTCTAGGCAATACCATAGACACATCTGACTGTGTCTCTCTCTTCGAGTGCAAGAAACTCAAGTCATCTTAAAAAAAAAAAAAAAAAAAAATTTACAAAAAAACAAACACACAAAAAATATCTTTTTTAGGCCAGAGTTTTCTACAGGTATTAATGAATATTTTTCTTAATCCTTATAAGTTTTATGTGTTTAATATTTCTTAATACCGGTAGCATTAATTTATACTTTTGTAGCAACACAATATTTTTATAAACAGCCGGTGCTTGGCTCAAGTCTTCACGAGGGGTTTATGCAGGGCCATCTTGGGGACCCTGTGTACCATGTACTGTATTTAAAAAAAAAAAAGTTACCTAGTGTCACACTTGCTGTGTTAATTAACAAAAGACGTTGTGTGCGGTCTCCTGTATTGGTGTGGATCCAGCAGCTCTCCAAGGAGTCACATTGCATGGGGGTTGAGTTGACGGTTCTTGTTGTGATATGTAAACCCCCGAGACCAAACTGGAGGGTTTATTTAGGGTTTTCTGTTTGTCTTTTGGGTTTTTGTTTCACTTTGTTTTGGTACCGTTTCTCCATTTACAGCCAAATCAGTTTCATGATGTTCAAAACTTTTGCTGATGTCAAATGGAGGAAAGGAACAGAAAAAA